ACCCCGTGTAAAAAAACAAAGTTTGTGGGGTTCCCCCTTAAAGTCATACCATTCCCTTAAGGTCAGGTAGGAATTTTGAGGAACCCCACCCCCCAAAATGGGGGAAGAACGTGGGGTCCCCCCTAAAATTCCATACCAGACCCTTGATTCGGGCATAGGCCTGGCAGGGCCGGAAAGGGGGGGGACGAGGAAGCAGAATACCAGGCCACATGCCCTTGGCACTGGAAAAGCACCTTGTCCCTGTGCTGATGGGGACAAGGGCCTCTTCCCCACAAGCCTTGGTGCGTTGGTTGCGGGGGGCGGGCGGCGGGCTTATTCACATCAGGGTACCTCTTTAATAGAGAGGCACCGAGATGCCCCCCTTTGAGAATGAGTAAGGGGTACTTGCCGAGGTCAAAAGCCGGGAGGTCAGATGCAGTACTGAGAGAATTTGAAGAAGAAGAATCCAATAAAACAGTCCGAGGTTAAAAAGGCAGTCAGCAACCGAGGAAGGTAGTTGAGGCAGAAAAATGGGTCAAAATCCAGGCAAACGGTGATATTCAGGGCAAGGCAGGAAAACAGGATACAATACACAAACAGGAGCTGAGAAGACAATCCAGCAACTAGGTGATATGTTGGTCCTGTTTATATAGGGAAGTGGGTCAATCATGTACCTCACTTCCAGTGCGCCTCTGGCGCATCTTGCTTGGCGCGTCTTTCCATGGCCAAGACTTGCTCTGCGCATGCGCGTGTTTATCCTCCCAGCGTGTTTATCCTCCTAGCGGGATTTGGCGCATGCGCAGAACGGGCATGATGCTTACACGTAGTGTACCTTGATTTTGATTTTTGACGATGATACCAAAATTTGTAGGGTCATAAACTCAACAGAAGACAGAAATATTACAGGAAGATTTGGATAAAATAGGGGGTGGGCATCTATATGGCAGATGAGGCTTAATATTGAGACGTGTAAGGTTATGCATTTTGGAGTTAAAAATACAAGAGCAAGCTACTCATTAATGGGCGTTCCACTGAGGGAATCGGAGGGGGGAAAAGATTTGGGAGTCCTAGTGGACATCCACCTTAGTAGCCGCATGCAATGCCAGACAGCAGCATATAAGGTATAAAAAAGGGAATGTATTCTAAAGGCAAATTCATAATTCTGCTCCTGTACAAAACACTGGTCCGGCCACATCTTGAGTATGCGGTTCCGTTTAGGTCACCGATCCACAGAAGGGATGACCTTAAGCTGGAGAGAGTGCAGAGAAGGGCGACAAAGCTAATAAAGGGGTTAGATGACCTAAACTATGAGGAAAGACTGCAAGCATTAAACTTGTTCACTCTTGAAAGAGGAGACTGAGAGGGGACATGATATTAATGTACAAATTGTTTAATGGTGACGGGATAATCAGTAATAAACTGGTTACTCAGTTACTCACTGGTCAGTTCAGTCAAGACTACAAGAGGTCGCCACCGGAAACTGGAAGAGAAAGGGATTAATCTGAAACTGTAAAGGAGAGTCTATATTGTGAGAGCTGTAAAGTTGTAGAACTCCCTTCCACAGACAGTGGTATCAGCTGAGAGTATGAAATCATTCAAGAACTATCTAGATACTTTTCTCAGTGCCCAAGATATACAGGGGTACAGGTCATCTTAGTAACACACAGACACACAAAACCCAAAAGGTTGAACTGAATGGATCTGTATCTTTATTCAACCTTAACTGTGTAACTTGGATATCAGTTATTTTTTTTCTCCCCCACTCCTCCCCCTTTCTAGCTCCCTCTTCTCTATCTCTCAGCGTATATATACTCAGGGCCGGCTTTGCAACAAGGCCATCGAGGCCCTGCCTTGGGGCGGCAGCGGTGTGGAATCTCCCAATGCCCAGGATATGCAGTTCTATAGGCACCAGGCGGTACGTTGTTTTCTACATGTAGCCCTGCTTTGTGAAAGCAGGGCTAAGTGTAGAGTGAGGAAGCCACTTGTTTATTTCCAAGTGATCTCGGTGATGTCACTGAGAACACTTGTAAGAAGAAAGCAGCCAGTCCGTCCTCCCCCCGCACCCCCCACACGCCTACCTCTCTCCTTGCCAGCTCCGTCCTCCCGCCTCCATCCTCACCCCACCGCTGAGCATCTCTCCTCGCTGGCCACCAATGTCTTCAGGATGGAAAGTGGCAGGGTTAAAAGTAACCCTGTCGCTCCCTGTAAGCAGTGAGAGGGGAGAGCAATCTTCCCCTCTCACCTGTCACAGTAGTTCCAGCACAGTGCTGTGCTAGAACTCTTGTATTGGAGGTGACAGGTTCAATAAAGATAACATGTCACCTCCAAATGCTATCAGACAGGGGCTCTTTAGCTCCTGTGTTATTTCTTATTATTTAATAAAGTTAAATAATAAGAAATAACATTGAAATTAAAAAAATAAAAAAGTGATTAAAAAGTAAAAAATTAGAAAATAATAATAAAAACAAATAAGAAAATAATTATAAAAAATTAGGGGTGCGGAAATTAACGCTTAATCCATCAATTAATCGTTAATTTATTTGATCGATCAAAATTATTTTGATCGATCAAAGTACTCACCTCTCCGCCGACATCGACGTCACCGGACTCCTCCCCCCCTCCCCGAGTGGCTCTGTCGGCTAACGAAGGGAAGGGGGGAGGAGTCGGGTGATGTAGTTGTCCGTGATGGGTAACGAAGGGAAGGAGGGAGGAGTCCGTTGACGTCGATGTCCGTGACGTCACCGGACTCCTCCCCCTTCCCTTCGTTACCTCAGCTGCGAGGACCCAGCAGCAGCCACCTGATACAGAGACCCGCCTCGATGTTCCCGGCCGCTGTCCCCCCACGCTGGTATGTTTTTTTTACAGCACCCTGCTCAAGCTATAGAACATGGAATAGAATATGGCTGAAACTGACTATATTCTATTCCATGTTCTATAATGTCATTGTACTACTAGGAAACTACAAGTCGGCAGTTCAGCTGCGACTTGTAGTTCCCTGTATGATAGAAGGCTGTTTTAATTACTGTCCTCATGAAAGTACTAGTAATACAAAGTCATTATAGAAACATTGAATAGAATATAGTTGAGTTCAAAAGTTACTGTACTATAATGGCATTGTATTTTCATGAGGAAAGTAATTAAAATAGCCTTCTATCATACAGGGAACTACAAGTCCCAGCATGCACTCACTGTCCCTGTACAACTCTCACATATCACGCAGGGAACTACTGCAGGGGGCTTGCATGCTGGAACTTGTAGTTCCCTGGGTGATTTATGTGGGGGACGGTGTACAAAGACCATAAGGGCATGCTGGGACATGTAGTTCCCTGGGTGATGTGGAGAGGTGTACAGGGGCAATGAAGGCATGCTGGTTGTAGTTGAACTGCAAGTCCCAGCATGCCTTCATTCTTATATACCAGGGTCGCAGGCACTGGTGTTCTGCTACTGGGGGGTTGGGGAAAGTCTCCTGGTTCATTTGTTAAATAATAAGAAATAACATTGAAATTAAAAAAATAAAAAAGTGATTAAAAAGTAAAAAATAATGAGAAAATAATTATAAAAAACAAATAAGAAAATAATAATAAAAAATAATAAATAATAAGATAAACAATTATAAAAAATAAAAAAAAGTAAAAGATGATAAGATAAATAAAAATGAAAAAAAAGTGATAAAGTAAAAAAATGAACAAGAAACAAAAATTAAAAGTAACTCTGTAACTGACTAAGTAAAAGATGATAAGATAAATAAAAATGTTAAAAAGTAATAAATAAATAAAATTAAAAAAAGTAGGAAAATAAAGAAAACAATTAACAAGAATTAAACAAACAGCAATTTACACTAACCCTGCCACCCCTGCCATCCGATTGCCATTTTCCATTGGGGTAGGGGGGTTGGCGTTGAGGGAAGCGCATTGAGGAACCTGGCCTTGGGGCACCAGGGAGAGTAAATCTGTCCCTGTATATAATGTATATATTTATATGGTAAAACATGATCCAAACTAAATTTTTCTACATTACAATAAGTGAGTTACAGGATTTAAGGAATCTGTCTGTATTCTGGGAATAGCTAAGTGAAAGAGCAAACATCTTTGCTGCACCAATCCCCAGCAGTGGAGACTCAGAGCCCAGTAAAAAGAATTGCAATATACATGGTTATTCACTAAAGAGCTTAAGGATCGAGTCTTAGCTTCGACTGATCCTTCGGCTCTCTTTGGCCACCGGAGTCCTTCGGTTCAGTTAAACTGAAGGGCTGCTGTACGGACGATTCACAAAAGCCCGAACAGCAGCTGAAGTCGGCCGAGCGGCTCAGCCGAGCTGAAGGCATATGTTTCGGCTCAACTGAACCAAAGTAGCAACCAAAGCGAGGCAAATTGCCTGCTGAAGGCTGGCCGTTCGCCCTACAAATGACAGCTGGGTGGAGCCGAACAGGGGGGGCGAACGGCAGCGAGTGAGCTGCTGGAGCTTTGGCTCAGCCGATCCAGATGTTGGATCGGCTGATTCGAAGTCCTTCTGCACTTCGGCTAAATCGAACATGCAGAGCGTGTTTGGCTGGCTAAAGGCAACCATTGTATTGCTGATTGCAGCCGAAGTACAGCTGAAATAAGCCATACTGAGCTGGAGTGAATAGCTGAATGCAGTTTGGCTTACTTCACCACGGCTGGGTTATTCACTCGGCTGCCTTTGGCAGCTTTGTGAATAACTCCCATAGTGTTTTCCACAAAGAACTAGAAAACCGTAAAATTTGTACATGTACAGCCTTTTATATCAAATAATGAAACCATGTGGCTTGTATGAATATTCTAGCCAGAAGACCCAGCGAAAGAAGAAGCTGCATACAAACCTCGATGCCAGGCAAAATGTGAAATGTCTCATTAGGTTTGTTAGATTCTCTTTATTTGTTGTCAATATTCTATGATTCTTATATAGTTTATTTCTTTTTTTCAGGAATCCACCATCATTTCTACAATTATAATTTGAGCAGTCTGAAAATATATCACTGCTAAGCTGTTATTCCTTAGAATATGATGAATCCCAGAGGAGACAAGCTATATGAGTGCTCAGAGTGTGAGAGAAGCTTCATTTCAAAGTCACTTCTTACAGTTCACCAGAAGATTCATAATGAAGGGAAATTATTTGATAAGACACATGTTACTCAACAACACACTAGAGAAAAGCCATTTAGATGTTCAGAATGTGACAAGTGCTTCGCACAAAAGGAAAGGCTTGCTGGTCACCAAAAACGTCATACTGAAGAGAAACAATTTAAATGTTCAGAATGTGACAAGAGCTTCATAACTAAGGGAATTCTTGCTATCCACCAGAGGACTCATACTGGAGAGAAACCATTTAAATGCTCAGAATGTGAAAAGTGCTTTAGAACAAAGATACATCTCACTCGACACCAGAGGATTCACACAGGAGAGAAGCCATTTCTTTGTTCAGAATGTGACAAGTGCTTCACAACTAAGATACATCTCACTCTACACCAGATGACTCACACTGGTGAGAAACAATTTAAATGCTCAGAATGTGACAAGTGCTTCACAACTAAGGGACATCTTACTAAACACCAGAGGATTCACACTGGAGAGAAGCCATTTCGATGTTCAGAATGTGATAAGAGCTTCACAACTAAGAGACATCTTACTGAACACCAGAGGACTCACACTGGAGAGAAGCCATTTCCTTGTTCAGAATGTGACAAGGGCTTCACAACTAAGTACAGTCTTACTAGACACCAGAGGACTCACACTGGAGAGAAGCCATTTAAATGCTCAGAATGTGAAAAGTGCTTCACAGTTAAGGGAAATCTTTCTGCACACCAGATGATACACACTGGGGAGAAGCTATTTCGATGTTCAGAATGTGACAAGTGCTTCACACAAAAGGCAAATCTTACTGAGCACCAGAGGACTCATACTGGAGAGAAACCATATAGATGTTCAGAATGTGACAAGTGCTTCACACACAAGGGAGCTCTTACTATTCACCACAGGATTCACACTGGAGAGAAGCCATTTCGATGTTCAGAATGTGACAAGAGCTTCACAACTAAGAGGAATCTTACCGTTCACCAGAGGATTCACACTGGATAGGAACCATATAGATGTTCAGAATGTGACAAGTGCTTCACAACTAAGGAAAATCTCACTAAACACCAGATGACTCACGCTGCAGAGAAGCTATTTCAATGTTCAGAATGTGACAAGTGTTTCAACCAAAAGCAAACTCTTAGTCAGCACCAGAGGATCCACACAGGTGAGCAACCATATTAATGTTCAGAATGTGGCAAATGTTTCACCATAAAGTCACATCTTACTTTTTACCAGGGGACTCACATTGGACAGAAACCATTGTTCCTGCTTAGATTATGACAAAAGTTTTACATCAAATATAAATCCTATTGGACACCAGACACTCTACAGCACCCGGGCATGCAATCAGCTATTTCAGTACGCTATCCATCAATTCTCATCGGCTTTTCTCTTCACTTAACATCTACATGCGAGTGACTGCCTCATGCATAAATAAACGTCTGCATCCCAGATCCAGTCACAGACTCCAGCCTCCTCACCTATGGTGCGCTTGGCAAAGATGGCATCTCCACCTTCCTCTTCAGGGCATCTCGTCTATTCCCTGGAATTGGCTGATGCAACTAATGGCTCCTCTAACAACAGTCTTCCGCCACACTTACCTCCTGAACAACCAGACGTCTCCTGTCAAGATGCGGCCCTCTTTGAAAAATGTAAGCTGCTGCTTCAAAGGAAATTTCTGTCCGCTACAGATAAAATGACTTCTTAGCTTTCCAAGGAGATTAAAGAATTGGGCTTGTGACTACACATGATGGAGCAAAACATGGCTGATGTTTTCTCAGAGTTGGATTCTCATGAGCAGTATCGGACCTCTCCACAGTCCTGCAAAAATTAGAAGATCTGAAAAATAGGATCTGTTGGGGAAACAAATGAATTTGCAGCGTTCCTGAGCATATTGAATATTTTCAAATCACCGTCACTGCCATGTTCAAAGAACTGCTCCTTGGCTACCCGGTCAAGCAGCTTGAAGTAGATCGGATGCACCGCAATCTCTTTCCTAAACAGACCAACGGACCCCCTGAGAGATATAATTCTTAAACCAATGTTATACAAGACCAAAGAATCTATCTTTGGGAGAAGCGGTCGTTGCGTTTTCAGAACAACAACTACCAAATCCTTGTGGATCTGGCTCCCCAAACCCTACAGAGATGTAGACTGTTGAAGCCTTACCCAGATAGCAAGGATAACCTGCCACAAACTTGTGTTAGGGTTAAATTGTAATTCTTGTTAACTTGCTGCACACATTCCTGGCAAGTTGTAGACTTGCAGAACACTCGCAGCACAATTTCTAGTTCACACTTTTTGAATTTGTAGCAAATTTGCTTGGCAAGTCTACAGCAAGAGTCCTGTGGGTCTTAGCAAAAGCTCTGCAAGCTCACTGGTCTAGAGACTTGCAATGCAGACCTGCTGTAATTGTGCAACAAAATTGTGAAGCTTGGCAAGTCTGCAATAGTTTAGCAAGTCATTTTCAAACTTGCAGCACAATTTCTTGCTATCTGGGTATCTGACCACCTTGTTACAATATGGCGTTAAGTGGGGATTTCCATTTGAAGTTGTCTTTAATTATGGGAACCGAGTTCACCCTTTCTCTTTCCCAGAAGAAGCTGGATCCCTCTTGGAACAACTACAACACTTTATCTCTGCTACCGCTGCTTCTTCCACACCTCCACCTCTAACCCCGAAGGAGCGCCGCCCATCTTGGCTGTGGGAATGTAAATCCCGAAAACCGTCACGGACTGACAGGGAGATTCTGTTCCTCTCAGGCTTCAAACAGCCAATCCGGGTAACTGATGTTTTTGTTTTTTTTTTTGCTTTTCCTTACCTGGAGTTTCCAGAGCCCTTCATTCTGCAATATTTCTCTTAGCTGGTCTTTTATTTGGACACCTGCACCATCTACTATTATGGACCACTCGGATTGCAGTGATTACCGTGTTCTACTTAGTTTATGAGTTAGACTTTTTTGTTTGATTTACCAAGGACAGTTTTTTCCTTACCTCACTTTATTACCATTCTTTTTCATGTATTGCGCACCATATGATATAGCTGATTATCTTCCACTGCCCTCAGTTTTAACCGTTTTTACTACTCCCCATTTCTCATCAGAAAACTGTGTGTTTACTCCTGTTGTTTATCATAGCATGTTAGTTTATTTAACTTTAATGGATATGTTGAAAAACTTGATAATCTCTAGTTTGCTCTTCTCTCCTGCCTTTTGCATGCGTTATTGCCAGGTTCCAGGTCCTCAGGTTGACATGTAGCTACCTTGGGTATTTCCCTTTGCTGCACTCCTCTATTCCCCCTTTTCCTTCTTGCTTCTTCTCCCCTTCAGTCCCCCTCCCTTTCCTTTTCCCATCTCCAGCAACTCACCGTGCTTTGCCACTTTCTCTCAATTCCTTCTTCTCTTCTGCTCTTTTTTCTTTCTCTGCTTTCCTTTCTGCCTTAACCTTTCTAATATTGGTTATACAAGGTATGGATTCTCTCCACCTTTGATGCGCCCTCCAAGTCCGGGTGGGTTGGGCACCCAATCTTTATTGGAATACTATTTGGTATTTCCGACTACTGCTTAGCAATTATGTGATTATGTTTTTTTATCTCTGATGTTCTGTTCCCCTGCCTCTTTCCTCTTCTTGCCCTTTACTTATTTCCTTTTTTTTCTGATGACGCCGGGTCCACCTGACAGTTTAGCCATGGCCTTGTTGCAGTATGTTTTTAGGTGGAAACTTTTCTTACTGTGGTGGATGACATCCTCTCCTTTCCATATTTTATCCAATAACTTGCAGGGACTTCATTTTTCTTAGAAACGTAGGATTGCTTTTAATAATTTTTCATCCCACCAAGCTAATATAGTGTGTTTGAAATAAAATAAATTGTCCGAGTCCTCCTGCCCAGGATATTTCCACAATATTTACCCTCATGTTTATTAAGCTTCCTTTGCTGAAAATAAGAGAGGGGGTTTGATAGCTTTCCATAAAAACACCCCTTTTCTCTGCTCTCTGGAGATAGTGGACCAAATGGAGAGATACTTGCTCCTACAGAGAACAGTTAAATGTTCCGCCTTACCCCTCGCTCCTTCGCATTTTCATTGGAGGATGAATGACTCCCTTCTTACTTTGTTTTACTCTGCCCATTATATTCAAATGTGTTTCTTCTGTTTTTTTTGCTGAAGAAGAGCACTCGGTCACATCCCCAGTTTCCTACAGGGAAGCCCATAAGGCTACATTGTTTTGGCAACATCATTAGCCTAGCATCTCAGCGGAAAAAAAAGTTTGGAAAGCTAACCCTTTGGCTTCGCTGCCTGAGGAAATTGGTTCTGTTAAAATGGAACTGAATCTTCTTCCTATTAAAGAAAGCAGAAAAACAGCATCGACAAAACATGGACCTATGCTTGCAAACATGCTAATAGGTTGGCCGAGGGCCACTCCACCTATCAGACTCCACCTTTCAGATGGTTCCACTTCCGCAAAACCCCACATTCATCATTGCGTGGTTGACCTCTATCCTCTCTAAAGTACATGGCAAACCCCTTTACTCGTAAAGTCATACACCTTATTCCTCATATGCACCAGAGATGCTACTGTCTTTAGATTTACAAAAACAATTTGACTCTTTATATTAGGACTATCTATATAATATCCTTCACAAATGGGGTATCCCCAAGGGTGTTTTGGCCTTGTTATGTGCCCTGTATTGTGGTCCCTCTGCATAGGATCATTATCTCTGCTATCTCTCCCCTCCACTTCCCATATTGCATGCCACACATTAGGGCTGTCCAGTCTCCCTACTCCTATTCGTCTTTGCCCATCTTAGCCCATCTTATACACAATAACCCTAACACACATGGCGTCACTAAGGGACTTGAAGAATATAAACTTAATTTGTTTGCAAATTATCTCCTTCTCACCCTGTCCCACCCTCACGTCTCTTCCTAATTTATTTTCCACCTTACACTCTTTTGCCCATGTCTCCAATTCGCTCTTCCATCCTACATGGTCATTACCCTCTGCCACAATTTCACATTTGTATGGAGGAAATCATGCCTTTCGTTTTTGGGTATCAATATTTCTAAAGATTTCAACTTCATAAACAAATTTAACTATTTACCAATTTTTAAGCAATCGAGGGAACAAATGTCTTTATGGGGCATCGTAACCTTTCCTGGCTGGGCAGAGATAAAAAATGTCAATACTCCCTAAATTACTGTACCTATTTCACACCCTTCCTGAGCCATATTCCATGCTACTTTATGAACTCTTTTCAGAACAGGGTCTTGTCTTTTGTGTGGGGACACCAAATGCCCAAGGATACCTAGGTTCACGATGCACATAAACAAACAACAGGGAGGCCTGGGTCTTCCTAATTTTCATAAATACTATCAGGCAGCATAAATAGTCCCCCTTTTAAGCTTTTATTTGTCCGCACATCATCCAATTTGCGTTGATTTGGAGACTCAGTCCTGTTCTCCAATTTCATTGTGCTCCATACCATATCGTCATGGTCATGTCCTATGACTTTGATTCCTCTCCTACTTCAAACTCTCCAAATTTGGGATAACACTAGATAACAAAGCAAATTACAATAACCATGCCTTTTCTTCCTTCCCATCCTGGGAAACCCCTTATTCCTCCCAAGTCTAGAATCACCTTCTGCATTTCCATGGTGGTCCTCCCATAATATTACCTGTTTGCATCAGCTGTTGGATGATGGGTCAATCTGTGCTTGGACCCACTTTAGGGATAGATTGCAAGCCTCGCTCTCTGAATGTTTCTCTTTAACCCGTTTCTCTTTCTTCTTTCTCTTCCTCCCTTTCTTTAGTCTGAAAGATAATTATTTCTTGGCACTGGAGAAATCACCAATGAGAGAAGTCCTATCCATGTTCTGAAAGTGATTCATTTCAGGTTAAAGAAATATCTGCTTTTATCTGTTGGGCTGCACTGATGACACAAACACAAGTTTTGGTTGTGACCACACCGGAGTTGAATTACTAACTGAAAAGTAAAGCTGTG